GACATTGTGTTCTCGAAGAGCAAATATGGCATGAGAAAGGGGAAAGACTTGGGTGCTGGTAAAATGTTCAGAATGGACATGACAATGGGGACGTAACAGATCACCCAAGTAGGTAATTCAGCCTCCGGTATGAACATCGTCAATGGAAGTATGATACAAAACAAAGTAAACGAGTAAAAGGGAAGTATAAGTTTCCTTAGGAGAAAGAAAAGGAATATCATGTTGGCCTTTTTCCATACTGATATCTGCAAAAATAACATCATAGAAGGGAGAAATAATTAGTAGAACTCTATGAATACGTTTAACAAACAAGCAAAAGTTAACGAAAATAAGCAGATGTTATACCTTTGAGGTTACAATGTCCGGGAGGCATAGTCTGAAGAGCTGCATCGGGCCAGAATGCCAACGATGTTGTTGCTTCTTATATGCTTCATACGACTCTGGTAATTCGCAAAGAACTCTCACATCATTGAGGTAGATAAATTTCCACCCCTTCAAGTGGGCACGAACTGCTATATCCATGTCCTCGACTGTAGTCCTCTCAAGCCAGCCACCTGAATCCTCTAATGCTTTAATCCTCCAAACACCTGCTGTTCCATTGAACCCGAAGAAATTGAGGAAAACTCCATTTACTTGCTGCTCGACTTCGAAATGGAAGCAGAGATTGATGTTTTGGAGTCTTGTAAGTAAATTTTCATCCTTATTCACAAATGACCATCGAGTCTGGACAAGGCCTATTTCGGGATTGTTCTGTAATGAGGAACAAGATTCTTAAAACTTTGTCGAATGACAGTAAATAAAGCGCACATTTAGGTAATTTTTTTAAGTTATTACCTTAAAATGAGGGATTGACAATTTAAGGAAATCGGGATTGGGTTGGAAATCTGCATCAAATATTGCAACAAATTCGTAGTCTTTGACGTAATCACAAGCCATGGCTGATTTAAGATTGCCAGCTTTGTACCCGGTTCTGATGAATCGATGTCTGTATATTATGTTCATCCCTTTCTCTTTCCACGACAAGCATTCATCTCTTATCAAATTCTGTAAAAGTTCATCGTCTGAATCATCTAAGACTTGAACTAAAAATCGATCCTTAGGCCAATCGAGCTGGCAAACTGCAGCAATTGATTGTTCGTACACCTGAAATTCCACACAATTTTCATTCAATACTATAAATAGTCAGGTAAATTAGACTAATCTTGAGCACAATTATGAATTGTACATGAACTTGAAGAACTAAGCATCAAACAGTCTGTGGAATTGAGAAAATATAACATATTCAAATCAAAAGGTGATTGGGTGAATGCCTACTGAAATGAACTTTTAGCTACTCAATTATCCTCTTTCCAATCTGGCTAACTCAAAACTGGGAATTTTTCACTTTATGAGCCATATTTACACATAATAAGACACGTACTGCAGAATATTAAATGAGAATTATAAATCAAAATATAGTCCAGTATACTTGAATTACCTCTCTTTCATTGCACATGGGAATCTGAACAAGAACCATCGGATAACTCGATCCATCTTCGATGTCATAAGGTTCGCCTTCAATCACAGGCTTCAACTTCTTGTACTTAATCCAGAAACACCCCAAACACTGCACAAGCCGATCCAGTGATTGGATCATGAAAAGTACGATGCAAGATTTGGATAGTGTCATTATCAGAGGAGCAACGTAATCAACTCTAAAAGAAAGCCAAGCCATATAAGACCATTGCACAACATTATTCTGAACTTCCCATGGATTATGAACCAAACTCAAATCCCATTTCTTGAAATAAGCAATGATTTCAATAATCAAAGCCACAATTGAAATAGCAAGAAATGCTTTTATAAACTTGTACATTTTCTTCCCTCTGTATGTGGGCTCTTCTCCCCTCCCATCGGAAGAAGTGGTAATTCGTTTCTTGATCGAACCGAAAATTGTACACAAACTCATTGCCAGCCATGGAATACAAGACACTACCCTGTGTGCTTTGAGAAGAAGAACCCAAGTAAATTGCTTAGGACTTGCAGCTTTTTGTTTCTCCTGGAAAATCAACGCCCTTTGGGAATCATTTGCTCAATTTAAAGAAACATTTTCAGGCTGCTCAAGTGTAATCACTACAGAGTTTGGTGCCATTTTTTTGAAAATCGGAAATGATTAAAGAAAACCCAGATCAAAAATCTTGGAAAAGAAACAAGGGATTGACAGATTTGTATGCTGTCAGACCATGGCCATCTATTTTACTCTGAAACTTAAAAGACTTCTTTAGTTTATATAATGCAATCTAGATCTCGAACAGAAAAAGAATGGCTCCGAATCCACAAATTCAGTTGAAACTGAGCAATGAGAATGCTCATAAATTTACAAGTCAAAAGTATATAGAGAGAATATGCTAATGAAGAAGCACAAGAATGCAATTATACAGGCTTGTCAGAGCCCTCAAGAGGTGAGGCAAACGGAAGGTTCAGAATTATTATTTTTTTTATTAAAAAAAAATTAACTTCGGATGAGATCAAGGGTCCATGTCAAACACAAAAAGTGTCTGGATTTTTGACATTTTTTAACCTTCAAACTCTTCACAAGGCTGCTATACGCGAGCTTCCAAGATTCACCATGGTGTCGGTGTCAACTAATAAACAGTAAATGACAACTAAGTTACAGCCAAATCTTGATATTATTTTGATAAGTTTTCTGTTCTCTGTCTGGTGATCTGGAATCTGTCCATTTCTTGGATATTAAAATTTTTATTAAAGGATGCTTCTTTTCTTTAAAAAAAAAAAAAAAAGTTCAACTTCAATCTTGAGGGCCCCTATCGTCCTACCTCTAGAGTTTTGTGAGGGAGGTAAATCATGGGATGTGTCCCAACAGGCCAGAGAACAAGAGTTGTTTGTTTACTGCGCCTAAAGAATCCAATTTCATGTCTCAGGAATCGAACCCCCACATTACGACTGCCAGCAAAACATGAGATAACCTTAATTTTGTCCTTTACATCATTGGGCTATGCCCGAGGGGCATGACACTTCTTTTCTTATTATTGGACAAAGGTGATGTGCCCACCCCACTTTACTTCCTCCAAGTTATTTTTGGCATCTTGCTTAACCAATTACTATTCTATTGGATTTTATATACATGTATTCAAATAGATTTTAGTGTGAAAAGTGAATTTTAGCGATCTATTGATTGGAGTGCAAAATGGAGAGATGGTGCTATAGAAGAGTCGTCGTTGGCGTATTGTTTGATCTTCCTTGATTATTATTTTCTTTTCAATTTATTTTAGTTAGTTGAGGGTGTAAATGTCCTTTATTTATTGATGGTTTCTTTTTTTTTCCCCCAACTTTTTGTTGGTATTTAAACATTTTTTTGAGTCAGTCGTCTTTTGGTTGAATTTTGATAAATTAAAAATCTTGGAGAAAAGTTCTTCAACCTCAAGATCACAAACTTTAATATGCGTGAAAATATAAATCAATACCAACTAGAAGCTAAAACAAGAGAGTTTAAAAGAATAGTGTAAAAATATAAAATAGATATTCCAAAAAGATAACTTAAATTTGTGAGTTGAACATAGACTTGTATAGTCGTAAATAAATAAGACATGTCGTCGGTAAACTTTCACTAAAAAATATTATGTTCACACATTGTACTTTAACCGCCAATCATGCCTTTAGGATTATTCATCTTATCAAAATTAAACACAACACTTGTGCATTCTTAATGAAAAGGATGGTCATTTTTTGCCTTTTACGTGACCAAAAAGAGACGTGAGGTTCACATCATTTGGATCAAGCATGACGTAATAATTGAAAGAAACTTTTATAACATAGAAAATATAAAAGAAGATAAAAATTATAATTATCTTGCCCCACCTTTGAATAGGGGTATTATTTATTAAGTGAGGCAAGCCGAATTGCGAATTTTTCATGTGAATTGCTCCTAGACTCACACGAGTTTGTCATAAGCTCGGCGGCTCGTGTACGAGTTAGCTTGATAATGGCTCATGAATCAACTTGTTATAAATGAGTGAAAAATAATTTTAATAAAAAAATTGACGAGCCATGAGCAATTCGCGAGGCTCAACTTGTCCCAACAAGGAGCGAGTTTGTGAGAAGAGACGAGCCCAATAGTGACAAGCCAACCGACTCGACTCAACTCAACTCATTTAACACTCCTACTATTGGGTCAACTCGATGCACAAATTTTCTTTGCCCTTTGGTTTTCTTACTTTTCTATTCTTTGCAAATTGTAAACTGTCTTCTTAGATTTGGATCCTTTTGACGCGTCTTTAATTATAGAAAACCGTGTAATTTATATGTACCAAAACTTGGTTCCTTTCTGTTTCCAGGGTATATATACATGCAAGTAAGAGTAATTCCCAAGTTAATAAAGAGTTATATTGGGGAACTTTTATTGTATCAAATTATAAAAGAAAATATTGCTAATTACATTTCACAAGAAATAAATAAATGTTGCATTAAATGCATTAACCTCGGGTCACTTATTTTCAATTTGGTACAATTACATCACTCATATTATATTTTCTTACAAATTTAGTCACTTTGTCCATTGTTCGATTAGTTTAACTAACATAATATATGATACGGATATTTAAAAAAATGACATGCAACATCGTGCTTTCAGTTCATATGTTATTTTTTAGATCATTTAAGATGAGTGGTGTACATTGTTTCGTAACATGGATATGCGTGACCATAATTGCAAGCAAAATGATTTTGAATGATCTGATTGCACCAAATTGAATATAAGAAAACCGAATGTAACATTGCTAAGAATTAGATGACTTACAATGCCTTGGAAGTTATGAAGATTTTCGTACTCAACTAAATATTTGTAAACCTCACACTTTTTCTAGCCTCAAGGTGCACGATCTTTGAAAGGAGAATTTTGAACGTATACTTACAAATGATAGATTTTTCGACATGACTAAAATTATTATTATCATTATTATTTTTTATTTTATATTTTTTTGTGGGGGTGGGGTTCCTAACTAGACACGAGACAGTATAGAAATTCGTTGACATAAGATAAAGAAGACGAAAAATCAGAAGTTATTGGTCACAAGAATCCTACAAAGATGCAATTATGTGATGAATTGAATCTATTTTTGGTTCCTACAATATTTGACCAATTTGCTGGGTTAACGCCATGATTGAATCCAGTGTGCATCGCACGATCAACGTGCAACTAAATAACAGCTCTACATATATATTATTTTTTAATTTTACTAACTATAGTCAATGAATTTGAAAAATAAATATATGATTATGACATTTCGAAGTCCTTAATTACTTTCACGTAAGTTTTGAATTACTTTTATATTAAAACGGACAGCACATGCATTGTAATTAGTGTCGAGTTAAGAGTATAAGTCCAATTAATTAATTAAATTAAAGTAGTTGACCATCCAAAAATAATTTTTTTCTTCTTAAAAGTCAATAATTGGAGAATTTTTTGTACCAATAAATGGAAAAAAAAATTTTAATATTAATTTTCAAATTAAAACTTTTCTAATTTTCATTTTTTTTTTATTATGCATCTCGCACTGGATTTAACGTTTAAGATATCCCCTGATCAAGAATGTTTGAATGATTATCCAAAAATAAAAATCGAGTATGTCAATTTCTCAAATGCAATAAATTCATACGTATATCATATTTCAGTTAGATTGTCATATCGTGAAAATAACATGAGATGAGAAATCTTTACATCAAAATGATAGTCCTGCTTAATTATAATCATTTGCGCATTCTCTTTTCAATCATTTTACAATTTATATATAACGACCATCTTTTCTCACACTTTTTAATAGTGACCTAAGAAGAAATAACCCTAACTATATCAAAGAATTAATATACATAGAACAGTCATTTTCACATAAAACCCAACCATGAAACAGATGGGGCTTTGGAGTTATGAGGCTAAATGGTGATGCACCCTAGCCACCTTGCATTGTATTTTCAGCCTCGTCCATCAGAGCCCACTGCCAAAGGATACTCAGTTTATATGCTTTCTCTTATGGATATTTCTTAGCATGTGGCCTGTGTGTCCCATTTGGATGCCCCCATGTGATAAGCTACCTGTACAAAATTATTTTAAGAGATTATTTTCATTTAAATTATACAATATATACATGGAAACTACATAGCATTAATATCCATGTTCATGTGTTGATTATGAGAAACTGCTTTTCTAAAACATCTGCATCTGCTCCACATGCAAGTGGTTTAACAGTTTATTCTAGTGATTAGTTGGTACAATCTAGCTAATCCCAGCTCTTAAAAGTTAGGTATAGTAAATTGGATCCTTCTCAAGTGAGTTGTAGTGATACCAATATTTGGCCGAGCTTGCACTTGAGGGTTAGACGGTCAACTATATGCAAATGTCCAAATGCCCAAGAATGCTATAGAGTTCGTCTATACTGACTATAAGGATCAAATCAATCACTTTGTTATCCAGATCTTTTTCAAACTCGCTATGTTGATTAAATTACGTAATGGACTTCGACATCAACATTACTAGAACTACAATTAATGATGGGACAGTCCAAAATCATATTGGCGATTATCAGCAATTTGTGGCTTCTAGCTGAGGTGCCCACCCCAGAGTAATTAATTCTTAAGAGAAACCAGCATACTCAGGCTATTTAAGCTACACACAAATGGCATAATCTACCTTAAGTTTTCTTTAGGATAAAAAGATAATGTTTCTAAGTTAGGGCCCATTCAAATCTTTGCTCAAAGATGGCCTACAACTTTAAAACCATTTTTTCAAGCAGAAAGAGTAAGCAAAGTCCCATTAATACGAAAGACAGAACCATAATTGCAAGGATAATATCGCCAACATCGACAAACTGCAAAATTTCACATTATACTAAGTATGCAAAACCGACAAGCCATGCATGTAGAGTAAAACTTAACCATACAGATGTGAAAACACGAAAATTATGATTTATGAAGATGGCTTCATCAGAAGACAATTTGTCCCACTTGGCATATTAACCGTTTCATAAGCTGGAAAAACAATTAATGATGGATAAGAAACACCGAGTCCAAAGAGAACAAGAATGTGGCTCTGCCTATTTTAAATAGTGAGATTCAATTCCATGTCCAGTAGTTGAGATGTCCAAATCCTTAGCAGCGTTAAAAGACATCTGATTCTTTAAGTTTGAACCACGCATAAGAATGGTTGCCAACGGATCGTCGTACTATTGCTAAAACTATATGGACCGTCAGTTCTCAGGACAAATTTATAGGAACAGTTCCAAATTTAATTCAATTAAAGATTTTCTTTCTTTCATAACTAATATCACCATTTGGACTCATACAAATGTGACTTGAAAATCCCTATTTCTAAACCAAACACCTTCATAGCTTCACCAGCACTAAGCAACTAAAGGTTCATTTTGGAGAAGGAAAAGGGTGAGTCAAAAAGAAAAACAATATTTTAACTCAAATAAATTTGATCATCCTGATTCTAATCTGAACTGACTGAAATGATATGGCAAAATAAGCTTCATTTAACTTGCAAAAACTAACAAAGAGGTCGGTTTAGCTAGATCCGCTTCTACCCTGAAGATGGAAATGATAGGCGTGCTAAAACATTGTATTGTATATTTTCATTTTTTTGTAAATTAACCTTCATTTTCATCTTTCCTTCATTTTCTCTCTCTCTCTCTCTTTTATTTTCACCCCTTATTTCTCGGGATAAGGGGGCTAAGACATGGCCAAATTGGTTATAGTAGGTTGGAGCTAGAACTCAAAAACAAATTCTAGAACACTTGAAAACAAATTACAGAGTACACAAGAGGCAGCATGATAGGGAATCTATGCTATTAGGTTATGATGCACCAACACGAAAATGTGTGTTTGACACAATACATGTCGAATACGTCGACACGTGATTTTGAAAGAATGTATGGACACAAAATGTCAGCATGTTGATTATATTCTTTAAAATTCTTTATTTATTTAGCATAAATTTAATTTTATACTTTTTATTAATTTTTTTATTAAAATATTTAAAATATGAGTATATGTTTGTTATTTACTAATAACTCAAATATTTTTAACTAAAAAAAGAAATATGTTTATGGTAAAGTGTCCGAGGAGTATCTGTATCGACACATGTTGGACACGCTATTTTAGTTGAAGTGTATGTGCTACAGAACTGCTAGGTCATAGATAAGAGGTTGTGAAGCAACGGAGAAAAAAAGAGAAGATAAACACATGACTAACTAATTCGTTGATTCCGAAGAATGCCAAATCGCATAAAAAAACTAGATAAATTTCAATTTATGAAAAAACTATTTTTAATTCAATGTTCAATGAGAAACAAACTAACTTAGCAGCCCTTTTCAACATGAGTGCCTGGTTAAAGATCTGACTTTCTCTCTAATACATTTGTGTTAAATTAGCAGCAATCAAGCCACACGGTTTTGACTAAATAAAGAAACAGCTCATGACAAAATAAATATAAAGTAAAGTAATAAAAGGAGAAGGAACAAATCAGCCAAAATCAGCATTCGATTAATTCAAGCCATGTTTACTTTTGGGCGTTCCCACTTAGCTAAGAAATGCCACTGTATTTGCATCAAGTTTCCATATTTGTTGATACATGTCATTTGTATGCATATACATGAGCAACAATTAAAAATGATAAGCACGAATGCGTGAGAATTTCACAACACTTTGAAGTTCAAATCCAATGCATTAAAAATATTAAACTCTTAAGCATCAGCCTGATCTACAAGAAAATCAATTGTGAGACAAATTTGTGTCAATAAATAAGTGCATGTTTGGCAAAGCTTAAATCACAATTTAAGCTGATTGAACATACTTTCAAACCAGAAGACCCATAGTTTATATCACTTAAGATCTCTAACAAACATGCTCTAACACACAGAAGGTACAAACTATTCATCTTTACCTACGTGTAAGTTCTCATGTCTGGTTAGACGTCATAGTTAATTTGTACTTTCATGGCTCCAAAGAATATTATTATGACAGTGCTATTTTGAGATTAAAGATACACATTACATCTTCCATACAAGAATGTCAGTAGTGTGTCAATTTGTGTCCAAAAAAATAAGGCACATGAGGTACAAACTATTCATCATTTCCTAAGTTTATGTTCTAATGTTTAATTTGACATCATAGTTAATTTGTAACTTCATGGCTCCAGAGAAATTACTATGAGGGTGTTATTTTGAGATTAAAGATACAAGGTACATGTTCTATGCAAGAATATCAGTTGTGTGTCAAATTTGTGTCAACAAATAAGGCAAAGAGTCTATTCCTATGTTCTTGTTCCTACATCTACTTTGACATTAGAACCGTTCCTCTTACTCATAAATTTGACACACTTATTTGACAAATAATCGTGACCTTTAATTTTAGTCAATCTAATACTCAATATGTTATGAATCTCAAGTGGTTATAACAAATTCTCCCATAATCTTCGTAAAATACATATTGAAAGTTGAATTGGCTTAAATTAAGTGTCTGTTTGATAGTGATTATGAGATTTGATTGTTTGACGTGGATCCCACCTGAAATAGTGAAATAACGATCAAAAAATCAATTTTTGAGTGAAAAATTGCTATCAAATGAGCCTAAAAGTCATGATTACTTGTCAAATAAGTATGTCAAATTTCTGAGCAGGAGGAACGGTCATGCTTTAACATAATAGCTAATTTGTACCCTCATACCTCTGGAGAATCTCTGTTGTACATTATAGTATTGATTCATTGTATAAGATTCAACATTTTAGAAGGTTTCGGACAGGGTAGTGCAGAATGAAGCAAACTTAACTGGTGGTAGTAACCCAAACATCAACTTCGAAAAATTTTGAACTCTAAGATCATCAATATCAAAACAGTACTCATATTGCAGAGAAAAGAGAAAATTTTACAAGAAAAGTAACATATGGCTGGCCACTACTACCCATCAAATGTTGCAACCTGACGATGAAAATTCCATAACTCAACTATCCTATCCAGCCCAAAATAACCCAATTTAGCATCAAATTTCCAGCATGAAAATCGAAAACCCAATATCAAACAAGTAAAATAAAACTCAGAAAAATCTTCGAACACGTTGTATGCACTATATTATAGACATGCTTCGTTTATATAGACAAAGCTAAAACATTCAAAAATCGATCTCTTTAGCACAAGACGCCATGGGGGTACCCGTTATGCTCCACTTTCTCATTCAGAGTGGTGCAAATAGCCCTGCACTTGAGCCTCCCTCCTCAAGGAGACTTGTTTTCCGGGTCGGATATTGGGTATTTCTTCGGCAAGTCATTCATCCGTTTATTTAATGGTTTTCTGGACCCAGAACGAGAAGCAATTCGGGACCACTAGGATTGCGGAGCTCCAGATAACGGTACAGCCGCTATATAGAAGCCCAATTTATAGTCAGGCCAACCTGGCGGCCCCCTTCTTTTTCCGAGAGTAAACCGCCGCTTAGCCCAACTGAATAGACGAAACGTATTGGGCCTATCCATGAATAGGAGATAGTTCAAAGGGAAAAAAAATCATAACTCGGTGATTTAGTTTACACCAAATCACAAGTTAGATATATGGTTTGAAAATGCAAAACTCAAATATGAGATAATTAGTTTAAACTATTTATTAATTAAATATAATATGGTCACATTTATACAATTATTGGTCACATGTACATAAGTACAGGTCACAGTTTATTTATTAATTACATATTGTCAAATTAATTGGTAACAGATTATTTCGAAATAAAAAATCAATAATTTTAAAGGTCACATTTTATTTAATTGGTCACAGATAAAAAAAATTATAGGTCATAATTTATCTATCAGCTACATATTTTCGAGTTTGTTAGTCACATATTTTTTTAGTCACAAATTATCGAATTTTAAAATCACATTTTAATAGTTAGTCACAAAGAACCAAATAATTGGTCACATACACCCAAAACCCGATCCACCACCAATACTTGTTCACAAATCAACCAAATAGTTGGTCACAGACACTCCTTGTCCCATTCTGTCACTACGCGGCCACCTCCACCATCACCAACAATAACAATAACTCAACACTACTGCCACCAACATCACCACTATCACGGGAACCACCACCATCACGACAACCACCATCCAGATCTGAATCCCCGCCGCCACCATCACCGCCGCACCAACACCAACTCACCATGCATTTAGCAACCAAGACTTTTCCTTTCCATGATTCCCATGGCAACGTTGCACAAAAAGTATGACCGCCACAACACCACCACTCAACAACCACCTTACCACCACTAAAACAGCCATTTGCAAAATCGAAAACAAGTAAAATCACCCACAACTAACATCAAAACAATAACAATAGAGAATCCTGTGTTTTGGACAGGATGGGTTCGGCCATGTGCCAGGATTACATTGTAGGCTCCAACAGCTAGCCGGTGAAGGAACAAGTTACAGCTCTGGAACACTGCAGCAGCATTCCCAAGTATGAAGTCTATGGTACCGTATATGTTACATTTCCCATAAAATTGACGGTTGGAGACTGCGTATAATGTATCCTGGTATACCAAAATGCTACAACTATACAGAACGGATTGATATGAGGCTATATATAGTGCCACAACTTGTTTTCTTCGAGGGCCTACTTTGATCTCAAACCCAATATCTCTTGCAATAAACCCATTTCCTATCATTCTTAACAAAAATAAAATTGCTATCAATTTACCTATGTGATAGCAATGTCTTTAGATCTCCTAAACTAAAAGCTCCATGGAAAAAGAGCTATTTTTTGGGGGCACGTTAATTAGATCTGTGCTGCAGTGACCCCTGTTCGCAGTGAGCAACGATGGAGATGACGACCATGGATGGATCTACAGTCGCAAGATATGGGTGAAATAACTCCGCAACTATCAACGATTCGAGCTCCTTCTGGCCAACGATTCACGCTCCTTCTAGGGTGATATAGATTAAAGGTAGGTGATGGGCTAGGCGATGAAGGGGAAGGTAAGGAGTTCGTGATTGCACCGTTTCGTATAGAGAGAATGGAGGGGACGATTCACTAGAGAGAGAGAGAGAGTTGTGGAGATAAATTAAGATTTTAATAGATGGGGACTTGATTTGTGAATAATGAAACATCTACCCTGATTTTTGAATTGTTATCTTCAAAGACTTGGAATGATGTAATTTCCTCCAGTTCAAAATACCTTATTTATTTTTATTTTAATAATTTTCGATTATAATAGAATGTGTTATATTTCATAAAATTACAATACGCACATTTTACCTTCCTGTTTTCATCACCACCACAGCAATTTGTTTACATTTTAGTAATTGGGCCAATTATGTTGTCCTCACGAGTCATCGAGCTAGACAATGAAACTCAGTAAGTCTCCATTCACAATAGGTGATCAATTCGTGAACTTCCACAAATAAAAAAGAATTAATTTTAGTTTTATTTTTTATTGGGGTTGAGTCATCCTAAGCCTAGGTATTAGCTCAATTTGATACCAGAAGCTATAACCGGTCAATATGTGAAATGAAAGATTGTACGTCATTGAATTCATTGAGGAATAGTTGGAAATGAAATAGAATACATGATTTTTACTTTTTCCTCATTTGGTATTTTCAATCCATGACTTTCTTGATTAGATCAGCCCAACCAAGTAATAAAGGAGGTCGTGCAGTTATGAGAAGTTGGACTACTAATGTGAACCTTCTTCTAATACATAGAGTAACATTTCGATAAATTAATAGCCTCGTGGCCAAGAAAAAAATATTAATTAAGCAAATATTTGTTATTAGATAAATTAGTAAATTATATTGTATCTAATATCCTTTTGTTGTAACTAAATGAATTGAAGTGGACAACTATTCTATGTACCGACTATATCCATTCCAATTCTTTGCAAAAGAGACATCGATTTGCTGGATCACTCATTGGTTTAATAAATAATTTCAATGAATACTTGCCTCATTGATCTCGCGTATCGGGTATAAAATTGCATTAATCACCAGCATAGTCCCTATATCGACTAAATCATATCCTTCTATGAGAACTGTGAAATGGGGATAACTTAACATTTAACAGTTGATACTTCGACTGAGCATATAGACTACATCGTATCCTTCTATGAGAAAGACATGCATATACTTTTTGAGGCTTCCCCCTTTAAAGCATAAAAGACTGACTTGATTGCATAACGTAGATGTGATTATTGGCCGATTTTAATAGAAGATAAGAATCTGCAATTGAATTTATATGATTAAAATCATATTTTAATAGATTTTGATAAAAGTTGATAAAATATGTAGTTGAAAAGTTTGTGGGTTTCATGAAATATGTTATTAAAATTAATTGTTAACTTCGATTTCTCTATCAAATAGGGACTAACTATGACATGGTAGAAAGACTCGAAATATGACTATATATTTAATTAAATTAGGCAAAAAAAAAAAAAAATCTGATTACTAGTGGTAGGAAAAAATTATAATTGTGAGAAATTACCCCAAAAGTTGTATCTTTTATGGAAAAGACTCGAGTAAGCTTATGTATTTGTTGGAAAATTGGGTTTAATTAGTTGGTTTGACCAACTTTTGATCAATTAATTTAGTGGGTCCCGTTAATCGAAAATAAGATTTCTTTGGCCGAATATATTCTACTCCATGGGTAGATTAATATGGCAAATTTATTTTCTCAAAACCAATTTAGGGTGAATGAGAAATTAAGACAAAAAAATGCCCACTTGATGTTGATATAAAATTGGTGAGAAATTGGAAAATACCAATCCCAAATAAGAAAACTAAAAGAATATAAACCACCTTATGTAGCTCAAGTTTGGGACTTGGGTTTGGGCCTCAAGGGGTACCAATAGTCTTTGACAGGGAGAGAACCTACATGCTAGTAGGTTAAGCCAAAGCTCACACGCGCGCGCCGCCGCCGCCATCCGTCCGACCAACCGACTCGGCTCAGCACGGGTCTTGGGCTTGGGCCAAGTCAATATATAATTTTTTGGTAAAATAACATTTAATTATATTATTTTATTATTATAATAATAATATATTTTATGTTATTAATTTTTTCTTCCCCGAATTTTCTGTATGTGACACGTGGTGCAGTGCTTCTAAAATTTGGCGGGTTGTGGCGGTTGACTGTCCAAAGTGGCGGTTGACTGTCCCAAAATCAGAATTAATTTTCTACTCTCCCGAAATTATCCCCTTATCCCTACATAATTTCTGCTTTTATAATTCAATTTTCGAAAATTACTTTTCGTGCATTTCAGTCATCCAGTGTATGTGGAGAGATCTAAACTTTACAGGTTTGTCGGATCTTGTAATTTGGAGTACTACTATTACAAGACGAGGTCGTTGTATCTTGGGAAACGAGTGCTGCAATATCGTCAGTACCAGTGCGGTACATTATCGTTTTAAGGAGAAAGAGTCGAACTCTTACCTCGACCATTCAAAACCATCCAAACGTCATTACTCTACCCAAATATAAATTACAGTGACACTATTATTTGCCAATATTTTTCAACAATCTTAAAACGATAATGGCAAGTAGTAGTACGTTTGTTGTACCCCCTAGTACATCTGTCGTACCCCCTAACAATGCTCACGGGGAGAAACCGGAAAAATTTATGGGAGTGGATTTTAAGAGATGGCAACAGAAAATGTTGTTCTATCTCACGACTTTGAATCTGATCAAAATCTTGAGAGAAGATGCTCCAACTGTTGAGGAGAAGGAAACAGATTCTCAAAAACGAGCAGCATTCGATGCTTGGAGTCATAGTGACTTCTTGTGCAGAAATTACATCCTCAATTGCCTTAACAACACACTATACAACATATACTGTTCCGTCAAAACGGCTAAATTACTATGGGAGTCATTGAAAAAGAAGTACAAAAAGAGAAGATGCCGGATTGAAGAAATTCGTTGTAGGCAAATTCCTGGACTTCAAAATGGTAGATTCTAAAATAATAATGACTCAAGTCCAAAAGATACAACTTATCTTGCACGATATACATGCAGAAGGCATGAAGCTCTGTGAACCATTTCAGGTAGCTGCTATTATCGAAAAATTACCACCAATGTGGAAAGATTTCAAGAACTACCTGAAACATAAACGCAAGAAAATGGGACTTGAAGATTTGATTATTAGATTAAGAATTGAGGAAGACAATCGAAATGCTGAAAAAAAGTCCGAAAAGCAGCAAATGGAGGCTAAAGTCAACTTGGTGGAGCCAAATACTAGCAAGAAAAGGAAGCACCCGAATAATAGCAAGCAAAAGAGCAAGGCCAAGAAGTTCAAAGGAGATTGCTATAATTGCGGTAAGCCTGGTCATATTGCAAAGGACTGTCGGCAGAAAAAGAAAAACAAAAAGGACCAAGTGCACTTGACTGAAGAAGATAGACTGTCTAACAGAGTGTCTGAACTAATGCTCTCGGCTGTTATATTTGAAGCAAACATGGTGGATAATCCGAGAGAATGGTTCGTTGATACTGGTGCTACTCGTCACGTTTGTGCGGATAAGGAGATGATTTCATCTTACACTCCTATCAATGGACGACAACTCTTCATGTGCAACTCAGCAATATCAAAAGTTATTGGTCTAGGTAAAGTAGTGCTGAAGATGACATCGGGGAAAGAAGTAACACTCATTGATGTGCTGCATGTTCTCGATATTTGCAAAAACTTGGTATCCGGAGCTCTGTTAAACAAGAATGGGTTTAGGCTGGTATTTGAATCTGACAAATTTGTACTCACCAAAAATAGCATGTTTGTAGGCAAAGGGTACCTAGCCAATGGGCTATTCAAATTGAATGTAATGCCTGTACTCCGTGATTTTGATATTAATAAAAATAAATCTTCTACTTATTTGATTGAGTCTTCTAGCTTATGGCATGATAGGTTAGGACATGTAAATGTTAATACATTACGAAGATTAGTAAGTTTAGATTTATTGCCTTCTATGTCCTTTGATCAAAATCATCGTTGTGACATGTGTAGAGGCTAAATTAGCGAAAAAACACTGTTTCATTCAGTTGAAAGGAACTCGAATCCTCTAGAACTAATTCACAGTGATATTTGTGATTTAAAGTTTGTGCAAACTAGAGGAGGTAAAAAAGTATTTTATTACTTTTATAGATGATTGCATAAGGTATTGTTATGTCTTTTTGTTAAGGAGTAAAGAC